CTGAGAAATACTAAATCCACTGAATGAACAGCTCCAAAAAGACAGTTATCATGCCATTATCCAGCAGTCATTATGCTTACTCGGAAATCCAATCCCATCAAGGTGCAGCTCGTACGCCCCGTCCCTACCCTCATTGCCGCATAACCTCCCCCCGACCACGATCCCCTGATCAGTCCTGGCGTGCTTAACACTCCCGAAGCTTAACGCATCGAAATGCAGCGCACTGTTTTTCTCAACTATTTAGTATATGTTTTGGTACCGTTTCGTTACTGGAACTGCTGTAGTACAATCTGATAATGCAACGGTAACTAGCGGCGCACACAAATAGTTGCAGCGATTACAAGTTTCTACGACAATGAGTGCAAATTAAGTGAATGCGTCAAAAAAAACTCAAGTGGTTGTATTCTGCCAGCAAGACATTTTGAACCACTGACGTACGTCAAATTCAAACCCCCTTCCCCCGTTTCCGGTCTTTGTGAGAGGCTCGAAGCGTGGAAGCGATTCCAGTGATAGCATGTGCCAACAGTAGCCACAAAATGACAAGGCTGCCAATTTTTCGAGAGTTGCTTAGAAGCGAGCTGATGATGAGTTTGACTCCCTGGCATATTGCCAGTACCAAGTTAACATCGAAAGGAATTTGTAGACAAAGACTGGTTATTCCATTGAGAAAGACGAATCCTTGTCTTACTTACTGCGTGACAGCAGCGTTACACCGCACTGCACCGTACTGACAAACGTAAAACAAAATTCCGAGTTAATGACTTACTCAGATCTGAAGTTACAGTTTGTATTTAGCGACACGGTTTTAATACAATATTCCGCAAAATTCGAAGGTTTATTTTGGGTTCATCTATATTATCCGGTCAATTGGATGTCTGTTATACCACTGACCAATAATCAGTGGTGAATTTGTAGATATTCCACGTACCAAACATTATCTTGCCAATTAAAGGATTGAATTTTGTTGTCCCTACTCAAACTTGCGCTGGAATTACATTCCTTTTCTCCCATCTTAACTGAAAACCCACGACTGCCATTGTCCTCCATCCAACACGTTTGACCAGCAAAATCCATAGCCAGCAGTACGCAAAACTTAACGTAATCCTTCATCAGGACCACCACTACGTCTGTCATCGCTAACATCATCATTACAGCCAATTAGTTCTAGCCGATGTTGTTGTTGTTGTTGTTGCTGTTGCTCCCATTCATGAGCTACGACGAGGAT